TTCCTCATGGAGGAGCCCATGCAGCTGGGAAGGATGACGCTTACCCAATCAGAACGTCAACGCCGTCTTCATCAGAGACTCTGCTTCTACTGTGGCCAGGCTGGTCACTTCCGCTCCGGTTGTCCTTCTCAGCCAAAATATCTGGCTCATCAGCGACAGGGGGAGCACTGTTGAGCCATACCTCTATCAACTCAGCCTCCTCCAACCGCATCCCAGTCAAAGGTACTATTTCTTGGTCTCAGGCCTCCTTTCCGTTTCAGGTCTTGATAGATTCAGGTGCGGATGACAATTTAATTGACTCTGACTTTGTGATGCAGTCTAAACTCCCCTTTGAGCCTCTTCCAGAACCTAAAGATGTGTTTGCCTTAGACGGGAGACTCCTAGCCCAAGTCACCCACCGTACTGCTCCAGTTTCCGTCAAGCTCGCTGATAACCATCACGAGATTATCTCCCTGTACCTTATCCCCTCACCCATGTCGCCACTCGTTTTAGGTTTTCCTTGGTTAAAGCTCCATAACCCTCACATAGATTGGGCCAACTCGTCTATCATTAACTGGAGTCTATTCTGTTACTCACATTGCTTACACTCAGCTGTACCCCCCACAGTTACTAGGGCACCAGATCCCCCCAAACCCATTGATCTCACCTCGGTACCCCCTGAATATCACAACGTCAAGGAGGTTTTCAGCAAGGACCACGCACTATCCTTGCCACCTCACCGGCCCTACGACTGTGCCATAGATGTGCTCCCTGGCGCCCCCTTTCCATCTAGTAAACTGTACAATCTCTCCAGGCCAGAAAAGGAGGCCATGGAGAGTTACATCTCTGACTCACTCGCTGCTGGGCTCATTCGCCCCTCTTCATCTCCTATGGGAGAAGGTTTCTTTTTTGTGGACAAGAAGGATAAGACCCTACGCCCTTGCATAGACTACAGAGGTCTAAATGGGATCACAGTCAAGAACAAGTACCCCCTTCCACTCATAGACTCTGCTTTTGTCCCCCTCCATGAAGCCACCATCTTCACAAAGTTGGATCTTCGCAATGCATACCACTTGGTGAGAATAAAGGAGGGGGATGAGTGGAAGACTGCATTCAATACTCCTCAGGGACATTTTGAGTATTTGGTAATGCCTTTTGGGTTAACCAATGCACCAGGTGTTTTCCAAGCTATGATTAATGATGTCTTGCGTGACATGTTAAACAGGTTTGTTTTTGTGTACCTTGATGACATCCTGATCTTCTCTCGCACTCCTCAGGAGCATGTCCAGCACGTAAGGCTGGTACTACAGAGACTTCTTGAGAACAGACTGTATGTTAAGGTTGAGAAGTGCGAGTTTCATGCCTCTTCTGTGAGTTTCCTGGGTTTTATCGTCGACAAAGGACTATTAAGGACTGACCCCGCCAAGGTCCAAGCAGTGACCGAGTGGCCCACTCCCTCTAACAGGAAGCAGTTGCAAAGGTTTCTGGGCTTTGCCAACTTTTATAGGAGGTTTATTCGGGACTATAATTTGTTCTTGTTTTGTTCGATCCTCATTGTCTGTTTTGTTTTGTCTGTCCACCATGTACAGCAACCTTGGGTCCCGTGAAAGGCGCTTTATAAATTCAATTTATTATTATTATTATTATTATTATAGTAGGGTAGCAGTACCTCTGACCAAACTTACCTCTGTCAAGTTGCCTTTTGTGTCTCCTGCAGCTGAGGCAGCTTTTGTAAAACTGAAATGTATGTTTTCCACTGCTCCTGTTCTCTCTCATTCTGATCCAGAGGTCCAGTTTGTGGTGGAGGTGGATGCCTCTGATTCTGGAGTGGGGGCAGTATTATCCCAGCGTTCCCCTTCAGACCAGAAGCTCCACCCTTGTGCGTTCTTCTCTCGCCGGCTGACCCCTGCAGAGAAGAACTACGACGTTGGTAATCGGGAGTTGCTAGCAGTGATTTTGGCCCTTCAAGAATGGAGGCACTGGCTGGAGGGAGCCACCCATCCTTTTGTAGTATGGACTGACCATAAGAATTTGTCTTACCTTCGCTCTGCACGCAGGCTCAACTCGCGCCAGGCTCGGTGGGCTCTCTTCCTGGGACGGTTCAACTTTACCTTGACCTACCGGCCTGGCTCCAGGAATGTGAAGGCCGACGCCTTGTCCCGGCAGTTCACCCCCCCAGTGGAGGATTCATCAGATGAAACAATTTTGCCATCTTCCTGTGTCGTGGGAGCAGCTAGATGGGAGATTGAAAGGGTGGTCCAGGAGGCCCAGGAGGACCATTCAGCGGCTCAGGATTGTCCACCAGACCGGATGTTCGTTCCCCCCGATGCTAGATCTCCAGTGCTCCAGTGGGGACATGCGTCCAAAGTAGCCTGCCATCCAGGTTTTCATCGGACCCTGGCCCTGCTTCAACAACGCTTCTGGTGGCCCACTATGTCCACAGACACGAAGGAGTATGTCTCAGCCTGCTCCGTCTGTGCCCGCAGCAAAGCTTCACATCAGGCCCCTGCTGGTCTTCTTCGCCCCCTTCCCATTCCCCACCGGCCCTGGTCCCACATTGCGGTGGATTTTGTGACTGGTCTCCCACCATCAGACAGTAACGACACTATTCTGACCATCGTTGACCGTTTTTCTAAGGCTGTGCACTTTGTCCCCCTGCCTAAACTACCTTCTGCCCTCGAGACTGCCACTCTTCTCACCCAGCATGTTTTTAGGCTGCATGGTATCCCTCAAGATATTGTATCAGACAGGGGTCCGCAGTTTTCCTCCCAAGTATGGAGGGCCTTTTGCCAGGCATTGAGGGCGTCGGCCAGCTTGTCCTCTGGGTACCATCCCCAGACCAATGGCCAGACGGAGCGGGCAAATCAGGACCTGGGAGCGGCTCTTCGTTGTGTTGCCTCTCGAAACCCGGCCTCATGGTCTTTGCAGTTTTTGAGCAACTTTTTTAGTTTTGCCTGGGACGTTTTCCCTCTGCTTTGTTTTTGGACCTTTCTGCAGCCAGCCAGCTCCCTGTCTTCAGTACCTGCCTTGGACTAGCTTTCTTTATTAAACACATTGAAACTTTATTTGTGTCAGTCTCTGTTTTGGGGTCCTAAGTAGTATCCAAACGCCACAGTTCTGTCCTCATATAGCTTCAACATTATGAAGCTTTATGTGAAATAAAGCACTACATCCAATAAGCTTTTCATCTGTATTAAAGGGGCCCTATTATGCTCATTGTGGGGGGGGTATGGGAGAGAAACTCCCTCTTGAGGGAACACAGGAACTTTAGCCTTTGGAGACCATTTACATGCACACAACTATATAACACCACAAAAAATCACAATTAAAGTCAGCCTGGGTTGGCCTTAGTAAATAAGGAGTAAGTGGCACAGAACAGACGATAATGTCCCATCGTGACTCTACGACTAAACTACAGTGCTCACAAGAACCAAAAACTATTCAGCGAGGCTGCACTGTGTTTAGGAAAATACACAGTAGCAAACACATTTCAAACAGTCTACTCTTTTAACTTCAATCCTCTTCTCTTTTTGCATTTGCTCATTTTCCATTTGTCTTGCCACACAAATGATTGAGAAGGGTTTGGACAGTAAATATCTTTCTGAAAGCCTATAAGTGTCACCACAATTTCAAAGCAGTTACAGGACTAGACATTTTTTAATAGTTAATAATGGGAATTACTGCCAACAAATATATAACTACACCACACATCACCTATTCCCCTTCACTCTCTAGCTTGCTAATCCCGTCTTCAGTACAGTGCTCTTTTTCTAACCTGCAAGGACACAGACCAGATGTGCAAATGTTTCTCTGTTTCTATTGAAAACCCATTCCAAAAGAGGCAGAGTGTGGGGAGAGGAATATTTGAATTCACTCCACGGGAGACTGATTTCATACATTTTGGCGGCTGCACAACCTTAAAAAAGGTAGCTTGGCTGGCTGAGAGAGAATGTTGACGGCATACCAAACAACATGATCCTAATGAGTTGGAAAATCCCTGGCCCTCCTGAGGACGGTCCAGATGCTACCGTCATGAGAAACGCTACTGTTTTATTGAATTCAGACTCCCCTCCCCGTCTTTAACAAGGAGCAAAATATATTATTTGACCATTAAGGCATCCTAGGTGACATGAAGCGTTACATATTTAAAGAGTTATTCTGCTCTGGCTGCAGGTCCAGCACCCCACACTGGGCACAAGACAATCTGATCTTTATTTCAAAGTGTCTCATGTGAATGTGTATAATTGGAGACCTATACTTGTGGATGTGTGCTTGTACTGCTAGTAAAGGGTCTGCAGCAAATTTGCTCAAAGCTTATTAGCTACTATCAGGTTGACTTGTTTTGGGCAAATGATAGAACATAATGTGATGAGCCCTGAGAAGTAACACTAAAAAATGTCAAATTGCTGTAAGCTCATGCCAGATCTTACAAATAACAGCAAATGTGCTTTCAATCATTTCAATAAATCAACCACAATGATGACTACATTAATATCTAATGCAAATGCCTCCAAGATGGACAAAGTGATGTATTTATTTCTGAAGATTTGTGATTTGTGCAAAGTGACTGATTTGCCATTGCGGAATGTTTATCGCAAACCTACAATCACAAGTGCAACTTGGAAATAAACACAAGGAATCTATTTCAGAGAAAAGCAATGACAAAAACATGCAGTGCAAAATCATCCTTTGCTCTTCTATGATACACCTGTTTCCTTCCTCTGCCCACACCTAACACCATGTCTCTTGGATAAAAACCCATGTAACAAAAGTGCATTGTTTCATTTGAGGGTCAGGGTTCATTTCACTCACCAAAACACACAGAGATACATATATTGAAACAATCATCACACACAAATCACAAGTCCTGTTGCCCTGTCTCAGTATGGTTTGAGCAGCCCTAACAGAACTACTGGTCAGAGATCAGCACAAAAGACTCAGATTAATAACTTCATAATATGCTGTGAAACAACAGACAATGTTCATATCTCATATTGTCTAGAGTAGAGAATGTTGTTTACCTGGATCTCTGTACACCTCACGGAGCAGGCTTTCGCTGAGGGTCACCGGGGATCCATTGACCATGCTGTGGGTCCAGCTCTGACAGATCGCTTGGAGCAAAAGCGTCTGGGCCCTTGTTGCCTGGACAGTAAAGTGGGGAAGCTCAAAAATACACTCTGTGGTGGGGACCGAAGATCTCTTGCACCTGGAATAGAGGGACATTAGATGAAGAAAGACAGAGTTAGATAATGAATAGTATATGGAAAAAGAGAGAGAATGATGAAGTGACAATAATAAATAAAATAATGGAGAGTCGCATTTAAGTGCCAACATACATTTAAAGAAATGGAACCCATTTCATGACTTCCATGAATCCATCAATATCACATCACAATATAAAACAGCTCATAGATGAGTGGCCAAATAGGTGGAACTTCATTCCAACAGCAAATTGAAGAATTACCAAGTGCAAGCCAAGCTTTCCTTAGTTACTTGGCAGACAGGTGCAGTTCTCCTCTTTGACGCCGACCATCTCTCCCCTCCATCAAAACTGTGATGATGATTTATGTGAAGAGATGAACAGCCCAGAAACCTGACCCTTAGAATAATCTCTATGCATTTACCATTGTATCTGTCTCCAAGAGTGTGGAGGGAGAGAGGTTGTGTGAATGTGTGTGTATGACAAGCTGATGAGTGGAGCGTTTAGGGGGATGAGGTAACAGCACAGAAGGATGGAGTCCTCCAGGACCCTGTCCATCAGAACCTCAGCAGACAATGCTCTCATTTATCACACACACACACGCACACGCACACGCGCACACACACAAGATCCCATCCATGACATGAGGCCACCAACCAAAGTATGGCATTATACACAGTGCTGGGACTGACGGAGCACTTGTCATCCTCAGTTACTCTCCCTCTCCCCTTGTCCCTCCCTCCCTTTGTGTCCCCAGGAACGTCTGTTCACTGGAAAAACTCCCAGGGAGCCTGAACTCAACACTGCAAAACAAGCTGTTTGAGGTTCCACTGCTCTTTTCCTCTCATCTGTTCTGAGAAGTTCTTCAGTTGGGTGTTTGATGAGGTGCCCTCCGCCCTCACATCAACTTTTCGGGGCGTGCGTGCACATATGCTTGACTACGTATTGTAATGGAGGCAGAGAGGTGCTACTTAAATGAGCAGCCTCTTTTTCTGTGAAAATATCACTGTGACTAATTCCAGGGATGGCTGCAGCGTGCCAGGAACAAGCATCACAGTTCATTTAATCACACATCCATTTTGGTCTGCTCCTAGTTCAGAGTGTGGGATATGTCAGGGGGACTCTCCCTCCGCTCAGCAGCTCTGCAATCGTTTAACTCCTCTGCTTCCCTCCCTCTCCTTCTCTGTGTCTCTTTATCGTTCCCTTTATTCTGCTCCTGGGTGGTTCAGCAGGGTGACATGAGCTGTTAGCTGCACACAGGCAAGCCCAGAGTTCTTAACTGCCTGCTGTCTCAGAGGGGGACTACTATGAGACAGAAAACGAGAGAGAGTTTGTAAAAGAGAGATGTCAGAGGCACAGGAAAAACAAAGAGAGAGAAACTCCAAACCTGACAGGGTCAATGAGTTTACCCCGACAGCGCACATATACATTTTGAATTCCCTGGAACATATGGTCCATTTGGCACCATGGTGAACCATGCAATGTCATGCTTCTCTACCGTAGGAAACCAACACTGTTTGAAGCTATACAGAAGGACATTAATCAAATCAATTTTCTTTTGTGTTTTTGTGTGATCAAACATGTGCATGCCTGTGTGTGTGTACACGTAGCAGATAACACTTTTGAACAAAAGAAAGTGAATGGGACCCAGTAACAGTAACAATGTCCCCACATGCAGAGCAAATGTGCCTGCAAAGCCATTTCAATGGGAGGGCTGGCAAGGGATGAAAGTTGGTTGGCTTTTTCCAGTGTTAATAGCTTTTCAGGGTAGCTGTCATGTGCATGTGGTCGTCTAAAACTTTAATTATGCACCTGTTTTTATTATATTATGCCTGATTCTTTGCAAACAGCAACTTGGATCTATCAGCTAAATGAGAAACAGAAACTCTCATTAGGGTGTTTTGGGAATGCTGGATGTGAGGACAGCCAGACACTCATCAGATTTCATTAAGTAGCTGGCACAGACTGTGATACTTGCTGCAACATGGTAAACAGCTTTTTGGCGAGCAGCTCTTTTACTGTTACCACAGCCTTTGAAAGAATCAAAAGCCTCCAAGAAGTAGAAATAAAAGTGCTCACACCTGCAGCATCAACAGCAATAACAAGTGACTGAACTATACCATATAACTTGTGAATGGAACATGGCAAACTCACAAAATGTTATCCACTGGTTACAGTCAGTACAGTGTCCTTATTGGAAACAGTCTGTAGCCTGGCGAGCCAAATTCATTAAAGCATACTTCTTCTCCTATAATGTGGAGACCCGCCAGAAGTGGTCCCTACAACGCATTTAGGATCCTGACTCATAATTTAACAAACCAGGTCCTTGGCTTGAACTTACATTTCTCATTGAATAGGCAGCCTCTGACCTCACAGTATTCCTTTAAGTCAATAACTTTTTTTATTTAAACACAGAGGCCCCCAGGAATACAATGAAATGAAATTAAAATAAGTCAGGAGCCTTGAAAAATTTGGTGTTTCACTATTAGCCAATGAAAATGATTTCCTCTGGTGTGCTTCAACACCATTAGGCCTAATTTCCCGGTGTGTCCCCTGTTGGTGTTGTGACTGAGTGATGAACAACTGGACGGGCTAGCACAGGTCCCTTTGGCTGACCGGCTGGCACAAGTCTTTCTGGCCAGTGTCTCTGTCAGAATCACACAACAGGGCATGTTTCCTCTGTGTACATGCTCTAATGTGGACATAAAGCAAGGACAACTAATTATTTTTAGTCATTAAAATGAATGAGTGAAATCTAAAAGGGAGTTGATGCCAGATGACCCACCAAAAGTATTTCAGCTCCAAACAAGGCTGAGAGCCATCTCATGAAACGTCATGCCACTGCTAGCATAAAGGTTTTACTGCCAACGCCTAACCTATCTGACTAGCCGGTGGGTAACCTACGTCTGTACCAAACCTTTTTCTCATCATTTTAGCTGAGATATATTTGGACAATTGGTTCTCAGGGTAATCAGCTTCCTGGTCTGGTCTGACTGGTCACAACTATATTTAGACAAATCCAGCTGGGGCTCTGACTAACAGGCTGTGATTGCTGCTTTACAGATGCAAGGTCACACACTAGCACATAGGCACACTAAGACACACAACCACAAAAATGCACATACATGTACAGACACAAATTAGTGAGTGTTTGCCAAAAACACATATACATAGAAGCCAACACATAAGCTGTCACACAAGCACACGTGTACACACACCTGTTCACGCTTACGTTCAAACCAATAACAGCATGTTGGTCAGCCAGAGCACATTCAGCAGCAGTAATGAGGCCACAGCTGACATGGGGTCTGCCGCTCTAACAACCTGTAACTGGAGCAATTAGAAAACTAGCTGCCAATTTTACAAGTTTGTATGTCTTTGGCGTTTATAATAGTAACAGAATGCCTGTTTGGCGAAAAAGGAGGGAAGAGAACAAGAAAAATACAATCAAACCCTGCAGAAACACAAACAAGAGAAAGGGTGTAGCGGCAAGCATAGGCAAAAGAAGGATAGAGCCTGCAGACTTGTAGGTCATATGTTTTCTCCAGCAGTAGGGAGTCTCATTAAAAAAGCCATTTGGAAAAGCTCCAGCAAAAACTCTGGAATAGCAGAACTGGTAGGTTGTTGCTTTGGACCGTTGCAGGCCAAAATAAATGTTCATTTTTGTTATTACTCGTATCCTGTACAGTAGCAAAAATCAGTTTCTTCACTCTTTCCAAAATATAGTGGCACAGACAGCTGTTGGGGCTGATAGGTCAGCAAGAAATGAGGAGCAAGGTGTCTGATCCCTTAGACACAATCACACCTTCTATGAATCCGATGGATTTTTTCCATAGAAGAGATACTGTTAAAGATAAAAGTGTTAAGTTAGGGGAAGTATTTAAAAGGATAATGTAGACTAAATCCAAGGCAGTTAAGTAAACAAAGAGTTAATAAGATAGTCAATCAATTTTGACTGGCCTTACAATGTGCTACTTTCTCTTGATTGAGACTTATCAGCGACCCCAATGTAATCCATTATAGGTTGACATATTTGTCTGATAGATACAACAGAGCCACCGTCTTGGGACTAGTGATAAGTTATCTAAAGTTTCTACAAATCATTCACTGTCACACCCTGCCTTAATTATCAATACAAACATTCCCCAACTCAAACAGTTAAACAAAACCCTCTACTGCTATTGTTTTCCTATTTCAAGAGCTTCTTTGGAGGGAACCAGGCTGAAAATGGAGGCAAGGCCAGACTTGACAGTTTTTTTTTTCTTTCGTTGTGGTGCAGATTGAGTTGAAGTATTGCAGTATTCCCCATCTCTCCAAGCCAAGGTCATTGACCCCTCTTGAAAATAAGTGAGTTAAAGGCTGCTCTCAAGTCCCCTCTTTTATCTCACTACAAAAGACTCACTACAGTGTCTTGCAAACTTTCCAAATGAACAGTATAAATCACGCAAGCACTTCACACTGATCAACAACTCCTAAGTGAGCAACTTGGGGGATTGGAACATTTTGCCAAATGAGCTGGCATGTGAAAAGTTCGAAAATATTACCAAAGCAAAGCCAAGCAAGCGTACTAATAATCCTAATTATTATTATTATTATCCTAACTCTTACAATTATTATCCTAACTCTTACAATTGTTTTATTTTACTGTATGTGTCACTGCGCATTGTCTCCAAGTCATTGGTTTGGTTGACACATGGTCTGTGTGATTGTGACCTGAGCGGGCCCTCTGATAAACCACATGTTGCAGAAATTAGTAAATGCATTCTGAGCAGGTAACTGTGATTAATAAGTCATTAATAATGAGGACTTTTTTGGTTCAAGAAATATATGGCTTAATAAAAATATTAAAATGAATGAATACATCAAGCACCCAGTGATATTACAAATGACAAATTGTGAGTTTCAGAACTTTGTTGATTTGAAGAAGGATCACTTCAACTAGCAGCCATCCTTTAATGCCACAATATATTTTTATTAGGGTTCATATTTAAATAAATTGATATTTA